CCCCAAAAATTTTTAAAAATCGTAGATAAAATAGATTCAAATTTCACGATGATCCGATTTCACCATGATCCGTGACAAAAAATAATGCTAGAATATACTATAATGCTACGAATGTTTAAGTAATTGAATTGAAAAACAATCAATATACTTAAAAAATATATATGTAATGTGATTTTTTCTGAAAGTGTTTTTTACTAACCGGAACTTAGAAACTATTAGTGTCATTATTATAAATGACGGAAATTTTCCGTCTGTTGAAAAATCGAGGCAGAAATTATCTTATGTAGACGGAAATTCCGGCATTTTACAATAGGTTTTGTGCTCTGATACCGGTGTTTAAAAAAATGTCTGGCATATTTTAGGCTGGCATTTTTGTCTCATGCCCGGCACTATAAAATTTTTATCAGACACGACAAGTGCCAGGCATGCAGATCCCTAGTTTGAATACAATAACTCATTAAATAATGAAATATCGGTAATTGAGGAATACGTACACCATAATGTTCATTAAATAGCTCAAACAACACAATCATCCGAAGGCCTGAATCTGTGAGTGTGAAAAGTAAGTATCCACTAGAGATTACATAAAAATTTTTCATTGATCTCACTTCATCTTGATTCGTATCTGGTGTATTATTTTGTGATTCTGAAGATTCTGGAATATATATTTCATGAATTTCAGCCTTTTCATTATATTGTGAAGAAGATTCCAATACTTCATTATTATTTTTTTCCATAGCTAATCCTTGAATTATTATATTAGATTGTGTTTTTGATTCATCCATATTACGAGGATGCTTTACAAAATTTTGAATTTAAGATCTATTTATACATTTCGTGCAATAGATAGACAAAAACAATGTGAAATTCGTTTAACCAATAATGGCACTTTTTTGAATTAATAATTCTGAATTAAAAATTGTAGTCAATACAAATATGGAAATCTAGAATTAATAATTCAAGTAATCGACAACGATAATGTAGTGTAACGTAGTTTCTTAAATATATAGTTTATGAAATCTTTTATTGGTGGACGTCTAGATCCTTATAATATATATTTTATTGAATTAACTTTAGGGTTAGGGTCACCTTATATTAGAGTTAGGTTAGGTTTTAGGTTGTATATAAGCAAAATTGCCTCACCGACATTTTTAATTAACCCATCCGAGGTAAGTTTAGACTGCCGTTTTTTGTTTTGCTTCGCCGGCGATCATCAAAATTCTATAATTTGATTGGTCATGTGTCACGTGATTCTGCTCCGCTTTCCCTTATTGGATTAAACTCATACAGATGGCTCTCGTTAATATCAACCTATTTGAATTGGTTTCAAATCATGCCGATAGTGTTATTAAAGAGAAATCATATTTTATACAAAAATTTGTCTTATGGCTTAGGATGATATTAACGAGGTTGATATTAACGGGGTCACCTGTACAAGACCCTCAGGGCTGCATTCACTAATTTCGCCTCTAGTAAATTATAAGAATTGGATTTTTTTTTCTACATTAGAAATAATAAATAGTAACCTTAATTAAGTATAGATCTGCATCACACCTCTGCACAGATTTCACTCTTTAATCTAATAATTAATTAATACGTACGTACGTAATAACTTTTGAGGCGTACACCAATCCAGAGCACAGAAACCATTTTTAAGAGCTTAGATCGTCGAATAGCAATACAGCGCTAAATTAATCTTTTAACCCACACAAACTTATTCGTACATTTAGTTTTCATATCACCTGATTTACTGTGACACGACCCAAGATCCCAAAGTCATAAAGTTGAAGGTAATTGTTGTTGTTATTAATAAACTGAATAGCAAAATTAATGCTAAATAAATATATATATACGTATAATTTTAAATTTAATTATACGTATCATACGTACTATTTTATAATAAAATATAGTATATAGGATGTTACGATTCCAAAGTTATTTCCCCGACTCGACATCACACGGAGTGATAATTTGCTAAAAATATATACTTGCAACTAATCGAACGCCAACCCTAACCCTATGTGATGTCAGGTAAGTGACCTGTCGAGGAATGTCTTTCGGGGAATTGAGCGACAACCTATGTATGTATTAATTCAAAAACTGGCTAATTAATCGGTGTGAGATGTTCTAAGTAACAATGTTCTATGACCCAAAAACCTATCCAAGCAGGGCACAAAATTTCGGCCTGCTTTTTTTTCGGTAAACGAAATTTAGAAACTCCTGCAATATAAAATTTCCGGCCGTTTTAAAACTACGCCGGAAATCAACTTATTAAACGGAACCTCCGGCATTTTACAATAAAATTTTGTGCCCTGATCCCAAACCCTAATTCTAACTATAAGTACTAACCTTAATGTAAAAAATTTGTGTTAAAAATTTTATATAAAAAACTTATAAACACTTAGAAAATTAATAAAAACATATACGTGTAATAGGTGCAAAACACCATAGGTGTGTTTTTAATAATTGTTATAATATTAGAATGTTACATTTATTATATGTGATTTTACGATATTACAATTTGCAACACTTCTGACTTTTAAATATAAAACCTGATAAGTTGCAACCCTAATTAATATTTGCAGCAATACTAATCTCAATAAAGGGAAAAACTGTGACTGGGTTTTAAAAAAAATCATGATTTATAAATGATTTATATGACTCATAAAACAATCGACCAGTTTGCAGGCTTTTCATATATTTTCGGTAATTAGCAATATTATGAAATGAGTGCCGCCAAGGGAAACACCGCAAATCTTATTTAAAAATAAGATTTGCGGGTTTTCCCTTGGCAGCACTCACATTTAGTTTTTAATAATTACCAAATCAAAAAAATTTCGCCAATATGTACAATCTTATTGACACAGCATTAACCTTACCGAGTAGGGATGTTAACAGTCTAATCTGGTCTATTTTGGTCCTGT